AAGTACTCTGCCGGAAAAACAAGACGAGTACTCACACATTTTGGGTAATCATTGAGTATTCACATGAGTACGCAAGAGTGAGTAATGAGTACTGTGTGGACGACATTGAGTATTCATGCTTGAGTATTATTGCATATAACTTTTGGCAAAATACTCATGAGTACTGTTCATCTAGTATTTTCGTATAAAGGAGTGATCTCATGCAGCCAGAGTTGGACTGTAAGTCTATTCATAGACGACCGAGTCCATCTCTGACTATATACAGAGAGACCAGGGAGAAAAATATCGTATAAATATTCTATGTTTCTTTACAAAATTCTACGTTCTTTATAATTTCATTTTTGCAAAATAAAATGGTGAATGAATATTTTCTGAGTACTCACATAGTAACTTTTAATTAAAAATACTTAAAAGTTGTTAGTAGAACTCATATGAGTACTCATGGACAAATTATGAGTAAAGTCTTACTCATAGTATGAGTACTTTCACTAGGATAGGTCAGTTTAGAGTGGGATTTGACTTCATACACCATAAAATCTCTATTTGAACGAAAATAAAATAGTTATAACAAAAATGTTTTCCAGTTGAGGGAATGCCTCTGCCTAATTTTTTTGCTCCAAAACATATCTTCACTAAACTTTTTGCATTATACATCATTCGATGCATTTTGAGGAACGGATTCCAAATATGATATTCCTTTTAATAAAAAAAAATGTTTTGAAGGACAAAAAGATTGAATTTTACGTGAAAAACCGTCGGATTAAGAAGTAATATGGTGTAAAAGTTTTGATCTCTGAAGGTATCGAGAAAATTTTCTCGTCAATATGCTACCCAGACATTCTGTGTTTAGAATATACAGTACCCCAGTCGAGTGTGGCTACTAACGCTCATGTAACTCAGAAACCAAATTCTCACCAAATATCTCATAGCATCTCTAGATTATATACATCTAGATATAAAAATGTAGATGAAACTTTATTAGGAAAACTTCGCACTTATCTCTCACACCGACAAAATTTTTTCTTCAAAAAATGAGTTTCAAATACATCATTTGACCGAGTTTCGTTCATCTGTAATCTCAAAACATGTTATTAACTTTTGTTTAGAAAGTTATGAGAGTAAAAAGAGCGAAATATAAGTGAAATGACGAGAAAAGTGACTCTTGATTGTAAAACAGCTGTTCTTCAGTAACCATTCGGAGGGAGTATTTTAAATTCACATTGTAGATAGACGAGAATCCAAACTACAGTTTGATAAAAAGAAAAAGTTTTCATCTCTCTTGAATTAGAAATAATCAATATTCTACCGAATGAAACGATATCTGCCGAACTATCCAATCAAAAAGAGGCTTAAACTTGTTGGATGATCAGTATTTGATGAAATCAATCACCACATAAAAGCAGACATCTCTAGGTTTTCGAGTTATAAGGATTGCTATTTTACTGTAGACTATTCCGAAGTCTATCAACGTATCCAAAACTTCTTAAGTAGAGGCCAAAAATTTTATTCAAAAGAATTTTTTTTGTTATGTGAATTAATAAGTTGATTTCTAGTGACAATGAAAAAGTCTTGTTCTAATTTAAGAATTTTAGGTTCTTTTATTTTCTAAGTACCTCGATCATCTTATTTGCACGATGATTTCAGACATCAGAAAAAGAACAGAAATAATCTTTTTATGGTGAATCATGATCCTTTCCTGGATCCGACCTCACTTTACCTCACCTGAAGTGCGTTTAACTATGTGCACCTCTGAGTTAAGTGTCACTTTAAGTGTTTAAGTTCTGAAGTGTCACTTAAGTGATTAAGTGTCATTTCGAATTCAACATCTTCCTGAAAAGTCAAGAATTCAATCTTATATGTTTCGAAATATAAAATGTACGGCTGTTTCGCGTCATACGAGTCTGTTTGTTTTCATCATTTTAATGAACAAACTTAGAAAAACACCTACAAATGTCAGTAAAAAACCGAAAACTATTTTTAGACTGTAACTATTTCTTTCAATATAGATCAACCGTGGCAAGTCAATAGTAAAATAACAATAGTAAAAAGAAAGAGAAAAATAGACAGACTATATATAGACAGACAATGGGTTTATTTCTCTTTCACTATCTACAGTTATGGATGCTACTCATTCAAAGTAAGGGAGCATTTCAAAATATGTAAATAAAATCAGAAAAGAACAAATTTTATATTTTCATCAAACGTTCATCTTTTATGGGGATTCTTTTCTAAAAAGTAGATCAGTATCGTGTACAACTCGTATACTTCAAACTAGTATAAAAAGTGGAAAAGGATCTTCTCTTATTAGTGTAATTGTAGTTCGCGAAGTTGGTGCAATACGAAATAGTTTTACAGTGAGCACTTCTTCCTTAAACATATAAAAGATGAACATTTGATATTACTATTTTTATTTTTAATTTGTTCTCTTCCTCCTTAGACAGGTACTAACTATTTTTGGCATGTTTGTGATCTGTGATATCTCTATGTATACCTTTCTTTTTTTCTGTTAATGTATTTTTGTGTCTGTGTCTTTCGTGTTTTCTTACTAACCTCATCCCCTTCCAGTTAGATTATTTACAGCTAAATGGAGTTTCAAATCATGTTGCTATGTTTTGTTTATTTTTATTGTATCCAGGTTGAAGAATATCTTTTTTTTTTATACCCATTTCTGCAAGCGCTTCCGAGCGTAACAAATAAACAGCTCAATCCCAAAAAACAAAAATGAACGTTTGATGAAAATATAAAATTTGTTCTTTTTTGATTTTATTTTCTAAGCAGAAAAACAGAAAAAATGTCTGCTCTTATAATGATGTCTATTAAAAAACGAATACATTGAAAGTATATATATGTATGTATGCACGATACAATCAAAGAAATCGAAATAAAACAAAATAAAATAAATTAGATTTCACTACGGCAGAACGGCTGAACGTCCGAGCGGCAGAACGACTAGCGACCGGCATACATTTTGAAATGCTTCCTAACGTCTGTATCTTATTCTTTCGTCTGTTTTCTTTTTATACATAATTCTGACAATTTTACTTGAGAAGAATAAACAAGGGTAATTATCAAGGGAAGAATATTAGTTAGGCATTTTTCTCTGCTCAAGAACTCTAATTCAAAAATCGTCACGAGCAATTTTTTAGACAAATGTCTTAGTCTCAAAACAAAAAAATTAAGGTCGCACGATGAACTGTCTAGTTTACTTTGTCAAAATCATGTTCCGAGAAAAATGTTAAACAAATTTGAAGATAACCGTAGTTGTAGTAGATCTAAGATTTAATCTAAAATCTCTCAAAAATTCATGAAAAACTAACTTTTTTGTGGAAAGCGACACAGACTGTGAAAGAAGAGACTTCGATGTATCCAGCTATCAAGGAAACCTCTTCAAGCTCTTATTTTCAAGCAGAAAAATACAAAAGAAACCTGTCTTTATACTATATGACTATGTGACTCCATGTAATTGTGTCCTGTATCGTGCAAAACAAAGCGGGAGTTTCTTTTCCTCACTGAAAAATGCTTTATATGATAAGATAAAAAGTCGTGTTTAATGACAACAAGGGCAATTATCAAGGAAGAATATTAGTCAGGCATTAGCTCCCTGCCTAATAGCCCTACCACATGCATATGCATTAAAAATGTGTACGAGAAAAAAAGATAGTTATTTTAGTCTACCATGTAAACATTTAATACCATGTAACTTTTGGGCAAAAGCGAAATCTGTGTTATTTTTGGAAAAATTAGCGATAGATATCTTGCATTTAGTGCTTTTTCCTTATCTCACATACGATAACATATACACTGCGGTTACACTACGCATAATAATAATAATAATAATGATAATTACGATTATCTTTGATTGTTAATCGTGATTAAACTACTAGTGTAACTGCTACTTTAATCACGATTATTTTAAAAATCATTAGTAAAGATCATCATGTTCGGAAGATGATTTCATGTTAATCATGATCTAAAAAGATCGATATCAACCGAATGCATCAAACAGATAAAGATTCATCATGCAGATATATTTTCACTTCTATTTGGAATGATGATTCATTGAAGACATGAAAGAAGAGGAAGAGAGAAATAAAGAAAAATATGTTCTTTTCATTTTCTCGCATGGTATATCGCAGATATATCTTGCATACAGAGTTCTGTATGTGTTACATGATGAATTCTTATACGCTAGAGCTCTAATCACTACTACTGCTCAAATCTTGTTCAAACAGAAAAATAAACGCGCAGTGGGCATATAGGTGGAGAAAATCGAAAGCTATTTTGTGATTTGAATAGTGTCAAATATACTTCGTTAAACGCGCTATCCTATGGCGTAAAAGTTTTTATTCTAAGACTTTTCTTTCCGGAAAAATTCAGTAGAGAAAAAACCAAATATATAAGGAAAATACTAGAAAATATGACGTGTACGGTGTAATCGCAAATCCGCCTACATCCACCTTCAGAGAAACTTGAAAAATAGGTCAAAATGTTCATTAGCATACCCTGCATCTGTGGTAGCCTCACAAAATTTCATAACTTTATCTATATATAGTTATGGCTTTATAAAAACCCTTGGTTTTTGAGGTATTTGGCAATTTATTCGGTCCAGAATTACTTGTATTAAAAAATAAGGTGATATCCGGAAGCAGCGTGAAAAACTGCATCGAATGATATATAGTTTGTTAGTTTTACAAATAAAACATTTTTTGAGTGGGGGGGGGGGGGGGGAAGAGGCCCCCAAAACATTTTTTTGGGCAAAACAATTTTTTTTTTATG